GTACTGTTGGCCCAAAGTTAGTTCCAAGGCTCCATCTATGGAACAAAAAATGTGGAGGAGCACAACACATTGAATGAGAAGTAAATGTTGGGCACAGCAGGTGGTTTGCAGGAGTAGTTCTTTAGGTGGGAGGGTTTCTTTGCTTGTTTGTTTTAGATTGTCCAGGATAGGAAAGAATGGTCTGCTATGGTCTGAATTCTATTCTAAAATTTGTGTGCTAAAGCCCTAACTCCCAATGTCTCAGAATGTGACTGTATTTATAGACAGAGTCTTGAAAGAGGAAAGCAAGTTAAAGTGAGGTCATTGGGGTAGCCCTTTATAAAAAGAGATTAGAGCAGACACACAAACAAGGAAAACCTTGTGAAGGGATAGAAAATGACCATCTACAAGCCAAGAAAGAGGCCTCAGAAGAAACCAAGGCTGCCCACCCCTGAGGCTAGCTTCTAGCCTACAGGATCATAAGAAATTTCTGTTGTTTAAGCCATTCAGTCTGTACTTTGTAATGACAACCCAAATCCTAACAAACCAATCCTATGTGATTCTATGATGAGAGTACAGACCCATTAAAAAGGAGCATCAAAGATACAAAAGAAAGGGAGAAGATGGCAAGGGGAGATGTGACAATCAGTAGGGGGAAATCTCACAGGTGACAAATAACTATGAGATAAAATGTATGTACATGTGACAGGCCCAAAAAGAGAACTAAGAGATATCCATGTTAAATTCTTATCTTGGTGGACCCTAAAAACAATCACATGTTGTCTTTGTAAGAGAGTCAGACAGAGTTTGGAGGCATAGAGGAAAGACACATAGAAGACAAGGTGGTTTGATGTGGCTTCAAGCCAAGGTATGCTTGGAGCTACCAGACCAGGAAGAGACAAGGAAAGAATGTATTTCTGTTGTTTTAAGCCATCAATTTTGTAGTAAATTGTTAGTGAAACCACAGAAAACTAATACAGATGCATTGAATTTGGTTATCAGAGAGGAAATTTCTTCCTCTCAGACACAGGGCACAAAAGTAAGGGTATTTATACATTGACTATATTTGGGGTGATAGTGATAAACTAGTTGAAGCAATTAGAGTTGATTCATTTTGTAAATAACAATGCCTCCTTAACTTTTCTGATTTTTTATTTGGTAGAGAACTCAGAATTTACTGACCTCAAATATAATAGAAAACATTTGGTTTGTTTTTTTTTCTAGCTTTTGATCATTTACACTAGTGATCTGTAAGCATTCTTTCTTGTGTTTTTAAGTATTTAGGTATAAGCAACAAATCAGAGAGTGAACAAAGAGTAATGATATACCCATCTCCCCAAGTTATGCATATTGTTTTATAAGAAGCAATCTCCAATTGCATTAAGTGAAGTAAAAACAACTTTCATAATAAGATTGCTTCTCTGAAATAACAAAACTGTGCAGGTTTCTAGATTGTGATCTGCAACGTATTAAAGTATAATGGATTTTTGCCATAAAAATGTCTAATATTGCTAAAATTAAACACTGCTTCCAAAGTTGCTTTATTTTCTAAAATCTGATATTTGTTGTACTTGCTCTGGTAGGTGGGGGAAATATTTGAGTGATATTCATTGTTAATAGAAGGATGAATTAGCTTTGCAGCATGAGTTGATACTTCATAAAATTCATTCTCAAAATAATTACTAGAGTTTTTAATCATTATATCTGAGAAAGAGAGTCAAAACTGTGCTCCTTGTAATATCAGACATTCTTCTTTCAGGCAAGTTATATTTGCTAGCACATATGGGGTTATGGTAAAAAAAATATTCAGTGGATGTACTTGAGCTTGCAGTTGTAACACTGGAGTCAGGGTTCAGATTCATCTATATCATGAAAAGCCATGGTAACCATATGGTGGTTTGACACATTTTACTGTTTACATTAGCTTTCTTTTTGACAGTTTGATAGAAAAAAACAACATGAAATATTTTAAAAATTGAGACTCTTTAAAGTATTACTAATTATTTTTGGTGCTAGTTTTTAAAAGTTAATATGTTGGTATCATCTTAGACAAAGAATGGGCTGTTCTCATCAGACAATATGATATCATGTTCAAACCGAGAACTGTTTTGTTTTTGCTGTGCTAGTGACATTTGTTAAGTGACATACAAGCTAAATAGGGGCATTGTGTAGGGGATAGGCTAGATAATACAGGAGGATCAACTACCGTCTCCTAGCACTTCTTGAACCCCAAAGATTCCCTGCCTCTTAAAATCTCATGTGCTTTATTTCCTTTCCCTTTGCTCTACAAATGCCAGGAGCTTGGCTCATAGGTTACCTGTTTAGGGACAATGTCATTAACTGTTGTGTTGATGGATGTACATAGCACGGTTCCTTGACACCTTATGTTCTTATCATTGATTATGACAGCTATTTAACTATTTTGCTGATTCTAGCTTACATTTCCACATGATATTTATACTAAAAGCATAATTATATTAAGAGCATGATTCAAGTCATACCAGTTGGGCTTTTAAAATCACTTAAAATATTTTATGTGTTTAAAAGGTTAATGGCTCTTCATTGGTCAAAGAAATGGAGTACAGAGTCCTAAACATATGAAATAGCACTTTACAATCTGTCCGTCAGCTACTGACCCAGATACAACCCAGTCTTCCTCAGCACCCTTCATGGTAGCTGGGATTCAGTCACATGCCCCGCTGTTTCTCTTTTAGAAACTAGCAAGATTCCTGTGCCTATTTGCACAGCATGGTTTACCTTTCTAAAATACCCTCTTTCTTCTTCACCCCTGGTAAAGTAAATTTCTCCCTCTTTTTTTAAATTTAAATATTTATTTATTTATTTGAAAGGCAGAGTTACAGAGAGAGAGGGAAAGACAGAGAAAGAGAGGTGAAATCCACTGTTTCACTCCTGAAATGGCCACAATGACCGGGGGCTGGACCAGGCAGAAGCCAGGAGATGGGAACTTCTTCTGGGTCTCCCAAGTGGATGCAGGGGCTCAAGGACTTGAGCCATCCTCTGCTGCTTCCACAGGTGCATTAGCAGGGAGTTGGATTGGAAGTGGAGCAGCTGGGTCTTGAACCGGTGCCCATATGGGATGCCAGTGCTTCAGACCATGCCTTTAACCTACTGCACCACAGCACTGGCCTCTTTCCCTCTGTTTTTCTCTAATAGCGTTTATCTACTCTCTTCTTGAATAATATGAGGAACTTAGAAAATTTTAACTTTTCTACTTATAAGATCTTCAAACTTTATTCCACAAATTAATTGTAAGTGTATCAAGGTTTTAATATTTTCTTTCTTCTGAGTTTCATCTTTTATCTACTCTTTCCTTATTAGTTCTATTTCCTTCACTATAAAGTGAACTCATAAAGAAAGGATTCTTTCTGCCAAGGGCAGTTAGTAATAACACTGTTATACTCTTTGTGTACCATCAACCTAGTAGACTCCCTATAATTAAGAAGTTCAATGGGGCCGGCACCGTGGCTCACTTGGTTTGTCCTCCACCTACGGTGCTGGCCTCCCATGTGGGCGCCAGGTTCTAGTTCCCGTGACTCCTCTCTCAGTCCAGCTCTCTGCTGTGGCCCGGGAGGGCAATGGAGGATGGCCCAAGTGCTTGGGCCCTGCACCCGCATGGGAGACCAGGAGGAAGCACCTGGCTCCCGGCTTTGGATCTGCACAGCACTGATTATAGCAGCCATTTGGGGAGTGAACCAATGGAAGGCATCTCTGTCTCTCTCTCACTGTCTATAACTCTACCTGTCAAAAAAAAAAAAAAAAAAAGTTCAACGGTGTTGAGTGTTGATGAGTATGTGAGACACTATTGGTGGAAATGTTAAAAAGATAGATATGACAATTTAGGAATACTGTTTGACATTATCAACTGCTTAATGTAATGAATATCCTGTACCCCGATAATTTGCTCTTTTAAAAATATTTATTTATTTAAATCAAAGGCAGACTGACTGAGAGAGATAAAGAGAGAGCGAGGGAGGAAGAGACAGAGATCTTCCATTTACTGGTTCACTCAACAAATGGCCACAACAGCCAGTGCTGGGCCAATTTGAAGCCAGGAGCCTGGAAATTCATCTGGGTCTCCCATGTGGATGGCAGGAGCTCATGTACTTGAGCCATCATCTGCTGCGTCTCGGATGCATTAGCAGGGAGCAGAATTGGAAGTAGAGATGCTGGGGCTCAAGTGGGCACCCCAATATGAGATGAGGGAATCCTACATGGCAGCTTAACCAGCACTTGTACAATACCCCCTCCCCCAATAATTTCAATCCAAGATAAAATCAACAGGAAATCATACATATTGTGGGAGGGTGAAAACTGGCTCCCCAAGATTTCCATGTCCTTATCTTCAGAATTAATGAATGTTACCTTCTGTAACAAAAGGGATTTTGCAGGGATAAGTAAGCTACCAATACTAAGATAGGAATCTCATCCCAGATTATCTGAGGGTCCCCAATGTGATCCACAAGGGTGCTTATAAAAGAGACACATATACAGGAGAGTCAAAATTGGAGAAAAATCAATATGATGACTGAAGCAAGCAGGGAGCAGAGTGATAAGGCTGCAGACTGATGTTGCTAACAGCCTCTAAAAACTGTAATGGTCAAGGAACAAATTCCTCCTGGGGACCCAGAAGAAACCAGCTCTGACACCCCTACTTTACTTTACTTTAGTTCCTTGAGCCTTATCTCAGACTCTGACTTTTGGAACTGTGAGAGTGGGAACTTGGTATCATTAGCACTATTTCCTTTGTCTAGAGTTGGTGTGTATACTTGGTGACAGTTGTTGAACAGGAATCACAACAATAATAAAATGAGTGAATGAATGAATGAAAATGTCTTTATTTCACTCTTATTTTGATGGGCAAATTGACATAATATAGAATTCCAGACTGACAGTTTTTTTCCAGCACTTTAGATAGATTCTGGCTTCTCTATCAGTTTTTTCTTGTTATATCCTTGAATACTGTGCCTCCTTTATTGTTTCTATTTTCTCCTTTTTAACAGCTACTGGAGGGGCTAGTGCTGTGGCATAGCAGGTTAAGCCGCTGCCTGCAGTGCCAGCATCCCTATCGGTGCCAGTTTGAGTCCTGGCTGCTCCACCTCCGATCCAGCTCTCTGCTATGGCCTGGGAAAGCAGAAGATGGCCCAAACCCTTGGGCCCCTGCACCCACGTGGGAGACCCAGAAGAAGCTCCTGGCTCCTGGCTTCGGATCAGTCAGCTCTGACCGTTGCAGCCAACTGGGGAGTGAACCAGTGGATGAAAGACCTCTCTCTCTCTCTCTCCCTCTCTTTCTGTGTAACTCTGACTTTCAAATAAATTAATAAATCTTTAAAAAAAAAGCTGAAAAATAAACAGCTACTGGAGTGTCTGGCCTCTGGGTGCATAAATTTCTCTTTGTTTCCTTCATCCTTTCATTTCTTTGTTTCCTTGTGATTCTCTCCAAGTAGTCATTAATTCATTCTGTTTAAAGCACCCACACACAGTACCAAATCACAATGGTAAATCTCAATGAATTTTGACAAAGGAAGCACATCTATAGATCAATAAATAGAATTTTACCAGCAGTCAGAAGCTTCCTCCTGTCCTCTCCCCCCGATGGTAAATTTCTTCTTAGCTACAGCTAACCATTATCCTTTTAATATTTCTGTTTCTGGAGTCTACTAATAGTGTCAGTGGGTCTACTTTTTCTCAGCTATAGTCATGTTTTCTAATCTCTTTGCTGTCTTGTTTATTTTTTAATGTAAATTTTATACTTCATTTAAAGTACTCGAGATAATTTATGTACCTGATATGTGTTATAAACCACCAGGGAGGTATATATTTTCTTCTGATGAGAAATTCCCAATGATTTTGATTAAATCAAGTTTAACTTCAATTCTTAGAAAAACCTTTTTTTTTTTTTTTTTTTTTAAATGATAGCTCCTCTTCTCTAGGATATATTTCTTTGTGGGCCCAAAATGAATGCCCAAATTGTTTACTATGATTCCGGTCCTGGATAGGCAATAAACTCCAATTTTTTTTCCCCTTGACACCATGAATCTGTTTGAAGTTCTGCTACACTCCTGATTCTCTCAGGTTCCTAGTCTGGTATAAGAACATACATCAACGATAAATGACTCCAAATATAAAGCTCTTCTTTCATTTTTATTTCCTCCCATAGATCTTGGTTTTTTAATTTACCTCTGTCTTTTACTCCTCAGGTGGCATTAAGCAGATTGAAAAACATGCATTTTGCCAGGTTTAATAGCTGTCCTTTATTTTTTTAAAAGATTTATTTATTTATATGAAAGGAAGAATTACAGAGAGAGAAGCAGAGGCAAAGAGAGGAAAAAGAGAGGTCTTGTATCCATTGTTTCACTCTCCAGATGGCTGCAATCGCCAAGGCTGGGCCAGGCTGAAGCCAGGAGCCAGGAGCTTCATCTGGGTCTTCCACATGGGTGCAAGGGCCCAAGTATGTTCCTCTGCTTTCCCAGGCATATTATCAGGGAGCTGGATCGGAAGTGGAACAATGGGGACTCGAAATGGCACCCATATGGGATGTGAACATTACAGGCGGCAGCTTAATCTCCTATACCACAGTGTTGTTGAGAATTGACAGTTAACTTTTGTTTGAAATTACTGGAAGTGGAAACTGGAAGTGGAAATTATAGGATATTTTATTGCCTAAATCCTATTTTATTCTTTAAACATTTGTCCTTTGCTATTGAGTCTCCTTTTATGTTGTCTTGGATTCTGTGCATTTGTTTCCTATTTTTATACCAGAGTTACTTATTTTATAATATCTACTCCATAAATATATTGGAGTTTATAATTTTTTATTGGAGATTTTCTTAAAAAAGATGCTTTAGTGGCCAGGGTTGTGCCGTAGTAGGTAAAGCTATCGCCTGTGATGTTGGCATCTCATATGGGCATCCATTTGAGTCGTGGCTGCTCTACTTCTGATTCAGCTCTCTGCTAATGTATCTGGGAAAACAGTCAAGGATGACCCAAGTACTTGGGCCCCCGAACCCACATGGGAGACCTAGATGAGGTTCTTGGCTCCTGGCTTCAGACTGGCCCAGTTCCAACTGCCGCAGCCATTTGGGGAATGAACCAGCAGATGGAAGACCTCTTTCTCTCTGTGTCTCTCCCTCTCTGTCTCTGTAACTCTTCTTTCAAATAAATAAATAAATATTTTTAAAAGGATGCTTGAAGTCTACATATTATGTTTACTGCTTGTTTTTAACGTTACACAACTTACTTAGAATGTTAAGGTAATTTTCTTCCTCTTTTTGAAATGGAGAAAATGTTTAATATGATTTACATAGTCATCTATGAAACATATGGAACAAAGCAACATAACTTTTTAAAACTTGTTCTTTTTATATAAATGGTAAGGGACTTTGAGTTATTCTTTTTTCTGTCTCCCAGAAAATGAGTTAAAATATAAGTGTCATGTTGTTACATGATATTTTGGAGCTTCCTGTCATCACAATAATTTATTCTGACATAATTTTGACAAACAGGACTTTAATCTTTACTGATAGAAAAATTTGAGATTTGTGCTTTCAGTAATAGGAAAGACCATGTTTTGTACCTACTATAAAAATGTGCTGTGTTTTATATAACAACTTCTTCATTTCACAAGGAAACTCCTCATGGTCACCAAATAAAGGAAAAGTAGGAATATGATGTGGTAATCCAGCACAATGTAGCTGCATGAAAGTGTTTGGTGATCTGTATTTTCATGGCCCAATAATACCTTGGGCCTGAGCAAGTGTTTCATATAGTCAGTTCCTTCAAAGGAATATTTTCTTGGTAAAAACAAAAACCAGGGGGAAAAAAGTTTTTCCAATCAGCAAAGGTAAGTGATAAAAACACTTATTTTTCCCTGGCATTGGTTCTAGATTGGGCAAAAATAATGTATTTTTTTCCTTTTTTTTATTTAGTAAATATAAATTTCCAAAGCACAGTTTATGGATTACAATGCCCCCCCATAATTTCCCTCCCACTTGCAACCCTCCCATCTCCCGCTCCCTCTCCCATTCCATTCACATCAAGATTAATTTTCAATTATCTTTATATACAGAAGATCAATTCAGTATATATTAAGTAAAGATTTCATCAGTTTGCACCCACACAGAAACACAAAGTGTAAAATACTGTTTCAGTACTAGTTATAGCATTACTTCACATTGGACAACACATTAAGGACAGATCCCACATGAGAAGTAAGTACATAGTGACTCATGTTGTTGACTTAACAATTTGACACTCTTGTTTATGGAGTCATTTTTTAAAAAAGGTATTTATTTGGAAGTCAGAATGAGAGAGAGAGAGGGAGAAAAAAACCGGCATTTTTTTTTTTTTTGTAGAAAAACCCATGTTGGACTCATACCTCCTCATTATTTCTATAGCTCAGATTAACTGAGTTCAAATTTCAAAGGTAATAAGTATTTGTGAAACAAGCTGTCATCAGGGAGAATTAGCAGGAGCAACAAATAATAGAATTCAAAATGCTATACTGTATCAGAGTTGTAGTTTTGCTTGTTTTTTTTTTTTTTTTCAAATAGGATAATCATGTATGTTTATAGATCAAAGGAAAAAAATTTAAGATGGAAGAGTAGGCAGAATAATTGATGACCAATTCAACTCCTGATAAGGGAAATATGTTGAAATGTTAAGTTAGGAATGGAGAAGAATTTGAAAGACTTGTGACTCAACTTTCTCAGTAGAATAAGAATTATGAAGGAGGTGAAAAGAAGTAATTAGATTAGAAGGAAGAGGGTAAGTGTAAAAGAATTTAGATTCTGCGTAGAGAATCTAAGATGAACACAAAAAGTAAAAGGATGGTTGGTCAGTGTTGGGAATCCAAGAGTAGACATGAGAATTTGAACAATACTCATTCTGCCATTTTCTTTCTTTTTTTATTTTTAAGATTTATTTATTTGAAAGGCAGAGTTACACGGAGAGAGGGAGAGAGATATGTAGAGAGATATTCCACCTGATGGTTCACTCCCCAGATGGCCACAATAATCGGGGCTGGGCAGGAGCCAGGAACTTCATTCTTGGTCTCCCATGTGGGTGTAAGGGCCCAAGGACTTAGGTCATATTATGCTGCTTTCCCAGGCAATTAGCAGGGAGCTGGCTTGGAAGTGGAGCAGCTGAGACTTGAACTGGTGGCCATGGGATGCTGGCATCACAGGCAGTGGCTTAATCTGTTTTGCCACAATGCCGGCCCCTATTCTGTCATTTTCTTTTGCCATGATAATATGGAGAAGTTGTAAAACCAATAATCACAACTCATATTATATTTAGAACTACAAAAATAAGTACATGGAATTCTTCCAGCAAGAAAAAAGATGAACTTCTGTTCAGTATTTAGAGTTTAAGAACGAATGGAATTATGTATGGAAGTTTAAAAAGCTTTTGTTGAAATCGATTAGAAAATATACATTTTCATACAGAAAAACTAAACATTGATTTTGCAGAAAAACTGTTTACATGGGGTGATACTCCATTTTCTGTTACTATAATGAAATGACCAAGCCTGGACAGTTTATATAGAAAAGAGGTTTGTTTACTCCACTGTTCTGGGGATTCAAGAGCTTGGTACCAGTATTGAGTATGTTCTGGTTTGGACCTCAGAATGGATGACACCATAATGGGGAGAATGTGTGCCAGAGGGAGAGCTCTCATGCAAGGACAGGGGATTCAGAGGTCAGAGTTGCTCTTTCACAGCAACCCAGACATCACAGGAGAACTACCCTAATTCATTCTGAGGGCAGTGCTTCTAAAGTTCTAATTTCTTCCCAGTAAAACACACTTCTTAGTTGGTGCCACTGCTCACTAGGCTAATCCTCCGCCTGCGGCGCCGGCACCCCAAATTCTAGTCCCAGTTGGGGTGCTGGTTCTGTCCTGGTTGCTCCTCTTCAGTCCAGCTCTCTGCTGTGGCCTGGGAAGGCAGTGGAGGATGGCCCAAGTGCTTGGACCCTGCATCCGCATGGGAGACCAGGAGGAAGCATCTGGCTCCTGGCTTCAGATTGGCGCAGGGCACCAGCCGCAGCGGCCATTTTGGGGGTGAACCAACAGAAGGAAGACCTTTCTCTCTGTCTCTCTCTCTCACTAACTGCCTGTCAAAAAAAAAAAAAAAAAAAAGCACACACACACACATTTCTTAAAGTTTCTACCACCTGTTAATGTCACCATACTAATAACCAAGCTTCTAACCCGTAAGGGGAGACACTGAAACCATATCTAAACCAAAACACATGGATACACACTGTGATTGAATTATTACTGATTTCTTTACTCTTTATCTGATTAAATTGTCAAAAAATTGTGGTTTTTTTCCTTCCTGTAAATGTTTATACAAAGTAAAGAACAATAAGAA